AAGCCTTAAACCCTCAACCCTACACCCGAAACGCTACTTGGGGTCGGGTAGGGTGGAACAAAAGGGCGGCAGAGGAACTAGCGGATCGACTCTAGAGTTTAGGGGCCTAGGGTTTAGGGTTTAGGGTTTAGGGTTTAGAGTTTAGGGTTTAGGGTTTAGGGTTTAGGGCTTAGGGTTTAGGGTTTAGGGTTTAGGGTTTAGGGGCCTAGAGTTTAGGGTTTGTGGGAAACTGGGAGACCTCAGTTCAGGCTCTGCTCGTTGATAGGTAGTAATAGGGCACCCCCCCCCCCCCTGTAGTCCCGGATAAAAATATTATTTTTTATTATTCCCACAAAACCCAAACCCTAATGGTTAAACCACCAGAATTCATGCTTTCGAAGTTTAGGGCCTAACTTCCATCTTCATTCGAATTCGCATCGAGGCCTTGCACACATTAGGTACAGGAGGTTCCAACTTCCACAGACCCCGCAACCAAACCCCAAGCCCGATAAGCCCGATGACACCAGCAAAACCCTAGCACGTGTACACCCTAAGCCCAAAAATCCTAGACCTTAAACCCTCCCTTGTGACAGGTGTATGCGCACTTCCCCATCAACGCCAATATCATCAACGGTGGCAAGGCCACTGCGATCAAGCTTCGCACATCCCAACCCCGTTCGGGTTTAGGGGGGTTCAGCCTTTTTTCCGTTTGCTGTTTAGGGTCCCTAAATTGGCCCTAAACCCTAAGCCATGAAGCCGCAAGCCCTTAATCACCCCTTGAAGCCTTCAACCCTAACAACTATTCCCCGAAAATCTTGAACCCTGGCCATACGTGCAGCCGCTATTTTCAGTCCAAGTCTGGTGCTGAGTTTTGGGGGTAGTCTTCCGGATGTCGAAGGTATGGGCGAGGTGTTTGCCTTCCTTGGTGCTATGTACTATAGACGAGGGGGAAGGGAGAAAGAGCGAGAGAGAGTAAACAGGACAAAACACAAGCAAAGACAGAGGGATGCAGACAACTAGACAGACGCCAGACGGGCAGACACCCGAGTAAGCTGTAGTTTGTGGTGGCTTCAGGTCCGCCTCTCCTTCTCGACTCGACCCTAAACTCTAAACCCTAAACCCTAAACCCTAAACCTTATTGATCGGAATAGGGGAATGGGGCGGCTTCAACTTCGCCCTTGCTTGGTCGGCTCCCAAAGAGCTTTAGGGTTTAGGGTTTAGGGTTTAGGGGGGTTTAGGGTTTAGGGTTTAGGGGGTTTAGGGTTTAGAGTTTAAGGTTTAGGTGGTTTACCGGGGTTTAGGGTTTAGGGTTTAGGGTGGTTCAGGAGTTTAGGGTTTAGGGTTGAGGGTTTAGGGTGGTTTAGAGGGGTTTAGGGTTTAGGTGGTTTAGCGGGGTTTAGGGTCGAGGGTTTAGGGGGTTTAGGGTTTAGGGTGGTTTAGGGGGGTTTAGGGTTTAGGGTTTAGGGTTTAGGGTTTAGGGTTTCGGATAAGAAAAAGGCACAAGCTTGATACCGGCAGGCCACAGTGAGTTGGGCTTCTCTGTTGTCACTTAGCAGTTTAGCATAAT